TCCACAGCGAAATGCAACCCGATGTAAGCCCGTATGGCGAAATCAGCTAGTTTATCGTCAAAGAAGAACTCGTGAATAGCCTTATGAGCCCATGGACTGGAGTTGAGCATCTCCTTTGGTGTCATTCCACGATCCAACATCTGCCCAAAAAGGCCTTTGAGCTTTGCCACAGCGTCGTCGACTGGCAGAACTTCTTTGACGTCCCTGTCAGCTAGGCTTATTTTTTCAATGTCCCAGACGATCTGTAATAGAGATTCGAAGATGTTACAAGCACACTCAGCAAGGTCCCATCTCACCTTATTCAAGAATTTTCTGTATTTCACACGGCTGTTTTGCAAAAGAAGTTGCCTTGCTTGATTGCAAACTTCATCCGTGTGGAACATATTTCCAATGTCGCGTAGATTGTCCGCTAGTGGGGTCACCTTAACAAAAACTTAACACATTCCAGAAGAGAAAAATAAAACGAGACGCGCTACCAAATGCATGCCGCGTTTCTCAATTCCTTCCATCAGAGCCAACATGAACTTGTTCTTTCCTTTCAGCTGGGTGTGCGAGTAAATCATGGAGACAACGCGATCCTTGTCTGATCCATACTGCAGAATTTAACATAATGATATATAACAGAGTCCAAATGGAGAAAGATAATCATAGCAACAAACCTCTTCATTGAGCAAAGCAACAGCGTCGTCGTACACACGGCCTTCGAAAAATCTCTCACACTGCTTATATTCGGCTAACAGCGAGTTCAACACATATGCAGTGTTGGACATTAGGCCATTTTCGAATCTAAAAGTAAAATGATGAATACAACATGTAATGCAATTTAGAACAATATGGCTTACCTTTCACAGATATGGTATACCGTGTCGCAAACTGCTTTTGCTGTCTCCCACTCAGCATGACTCAAAGAGCCAAAGTAATCGTCAAGTATGGACTTAAGATAGACATTAGTTTGTTAAAGGATACGTTAGAGGGTAGAGCTGACTTTAACTGCTGTGAAGTTACTCATGGAGTCGATTTTCATAAGCTCCTTCATCTTCGCCGAATACTTCTCTGGAATTCGATTGACCATTGGATTGAGAGCTTGCTAAAAAAAGCATCAAATCTGCCTGCATGTAAAAAGACATAAATCCTTACCTTGAACAAAGCATGAGGTAAAGTCGTGCTTTCTAGATTTGAGAACAATTCCTCTACAAGGTTCTTCATGCTCAAGTCAGCACCAGGAGGGATAGAGCCGTGGAGAACGTTCATGCACATCTAAAGCAACTATTCACGTATGAAGAACAGAATATGACAAATACTTAC